AGACTGCACACTTCAGTCCAAATTGACAGTTGAAAAGGAGTTCCAAGCAATAAGTTGTGCTAAAATTGAATTCTGAGTGAGTGCTCTAAATTTGAGTGTAATACTTTCCTGATTAAAAGAGAAGTATGGGATTAAAAAAAAATCATATCTTGTGGATGCAGCATAAGTCCAATGCTGCATCTGTCCACTGCCACCTCTAAGAACTGAGCGATCAAAGACTGTTGATCGCTTAGTTCTCAGTCTTCAGTGAGCAGACAGCCAGTGACTGTCAGTTACTGCTCTTTGCTCTGCACCTCCAGAACTCATTGAAGCACCGTGCTGTGCAGGAGGTGCAAGTGGCTGACTTAGACTCCCATTGGCGCGCTGAGAGGCTGAGCCAGTTGCCAGTCACGCACCTGGGTGGATCCTGACATTAAAGTTGGGATCCCTCCAGCATATGGATCAGCTGAGTGACATCAGCTGAGAACAGACGTTAGCCCTTGACTAAATGTCGGCTGAATATAGGTCACAGGAGTGCACTCCTGTGACTTACTGGAGAAGTAGAGCTAAACAGGCTTTGGCCCTACTTCTCTTTAAATAACATTCATAGAGGGTCTGTAGAAGGGCATTAGGAATGTACCTCCAGGAATTTACATGTCAAACTCTCTGTGCATCTCAAGGCTCAATGTTCCGTTCTGACTAGAGTATGAAGTTCTGTGTATATCAATGACAAGGGATGTTAAAGTGTGTCCCTAGGCAAAACTTCTTTTAATTTTAGTTAGCGTAGGGAAGGGTTGGACCCTCTGTCAATTTGTTATTTCTGTGTCCCCACTAGGCAGATTCACCCCTCCATCTGTATTGGTAACCAATGTCACCAAGAGTGATGGGAAATCCAAAATTTTAAAGCTTTCCCCAAAATGAGAGTAAGCGAATATCTGTTCTGAAGACAACTGTTTAAGAAGGGAATTCCCCTCACTTTGAAAAACTTCCTCTAACTTTTTGTTGTGACTCATGGGCAGGAAGTGAGGGGAAATTTCCCCAGTGGACCACAGACAGGCAAAGATGCAATACACATGGATTGAATGTTGCCTAAACACTGCCAATCATTCAGGCTGGTTCAAATGTTGTAACAATGTATAGTAAGTGGAGGAAAGTAAAGAATGGTGTTACACATAACCAGCTATTTTGTGTTCTGCATTAGAAAATGACAGTCTATATCAAATGTGTTGCTATGGGCAACACAAACAATTACGTTTCCTGCCGTTTTAAAGAAAACCTACACTAGGAGAAATACTGAGGCTTCAATTGCTGACCTTCTGAACATGCTAGTTGCCTGGCTGTATCAGTTTGCTGTTCTTCAATGACAAGTGTGAAGTATTTGAAGTTAACGTGAAGTCCAAAAATCAGATTTAAATACTTTTTCATTGAAGTCATGGGTTCAGCATGACTGCCAGGCAACCTGTGCAAGTTCAGCTGTGACTGCCTCTATCATACTTTCATGATACTACAGTACGTGAGACCCTGCATGTGTTAGCGGATTTCAGGGTTGTGTAGCTGCATAGCCATAATCCTGAAAAGCCTGTACTGCACTGTAGTATCGTTACTTAATGTGAGGAGTGTATCGTTCATTAAATGACATAGCCTAAAGCAGAAAACAAGTACTTCACGCTGGCAAATAATCAAGAGTCAGGAAGAAATAAAGGTAATATTAACAGATTCTTTTGTGCTGAGCACATGGAATTACATCCCAAACATTGTCATTAAGTTCTTGGTTTACTGACCATTTATTATCTGTGGGATGGCCTTGAGCTTTATCCCAAACTTTGGACAGATAATCACTTTGCTCTTTATTTTAAAGCAAACTTGGCATGAGATAAAAATATGGCCTGTCATTAATGATCTCTCGTTTGCTATTTGCCTGGCTGTGTATTAATATTCCGGTTTCCAAAAGTGTGAAGCTAGCAATAGATGGATCATAATTCAGCCAGTTCAGCAGGGAGTGGCCAAATTTTGTTCCATATGTGGCTGTCCCTGTTTAACAGAATTCGATCGTTGGATTGACTTCTGTCAAATTGGTATGTGGGAAAACGTTTGTCGATCAGTGGCTGCAGCAGCTGCTAAGTGGTCTCTGACTGTAGCAAGTCCTGCTGTCAGAATACAATGTCTCAGCAGGGGATTTGGGGGGATGGAGGGTGTTGGGGTGGGTTTGGGAGCACACCTTTTTATATGTTGAATTTTCTTTTTTGTTTTGTATTTAGAAGTAGGGAGCCAGTGTTGTTGTGCCGCTTTTATGGGGTTATGTTTTATCCAAAGACTGATACTGTGTCATATCTCTAGACAACAAGAATACACACCTCCTGATAGTCTTCATGCTTGGTCAGAAAACACAAAAAGATCACAAAGCAATATACTTACTGTAGTAAAATATGCAGGAAACCGTGTACAAGCCAATCATTTTTAAATTATGAGCTGGAAAACCATTCAGGTAAACATTTATCTGACCTGATACTTTTCACTTACATGCTGTAATGTGGAGAACCCGTTCTTAAAAGATGTCCAAGAAGAAGATTATATTTTACCTTTTGTCCGCTCTCCACTTTATAGTGAAAAAATAACCTGTTTTTATGAGTTGAAGGATTCATACAATGATTTTACTTACTCCTATATACAGTAGTGTTCTTACCAATGAGCCATTTCTCATGCAGAGAGAAAGATCCAGTAATTGCAAGTTAGGTGTGACTTTGTGAACTGGCCACACGGAGCTGAAAAAGGCAGGACCGCTGTGAACAGCTGAATTGATATCCCTTAATCCATTCAGTGAACAGTTTGCAGTGGCATCTGCAGCCCTGACATTATCATTTTTGTAGGCTGACTACTACTGTCACTAGGCCAACTACTTATGGAAAACTGTACAGCATGTATCCTCCACCTAGTATTTGGGGTTCTCTGGTACTGTAATGGCAAGCATGTCTGTGAAGGTTTTTATGTGTCCAGGTCATGGTATATTTTGTAGTAGTTAGTCAACTGGACTTGTTCTGTAATGTTGAAAAAATTTTGTAGCTTATCCAAGCCACATGGTCAGTTCCAACGAGTTTCAGGAAAATAATCCAACATATTTATATCCACACAGGTAGCAAGGACACTTTGATCCAGTTACCATCAAAAAGGCAGAAGTGAACCACCCTGTGCTAATTACATTATCCCATCCCTGGTGTCAGAAAGGCTTCATAGGTGTTAGGCATTCTATTTACATGCCTGAAGCTGTGAATGGTTTACCATGCTGGGGTAGAGATGTTAAACTGGCATTATATGTGGAAGACAGATGGTGTTGAAAGCCCCACCCCTGTTTAGGGATGGTTGTAACAGTTTGACTTAAATGGCCTCTTTTATGTCTTTTGTGAACCACTTGTCCTCTCTGTCTAAAATGTACACTGTCCTTAAAGCAGAGTTCCACTCACTCTGTAAAAAAAATAAGTCAGCAGCTACAAAAACTGTAGCTGCTGACTTTTAAAAAACAGCCACTCACCTGTCCCATAATCCTACATTACCCCCGCCACAGCCCGTTTCACCTGCCATCCTGTATTCCAGCAGGCCGGCATTTTCAGTGTGGGCACCCGGCTGTGGCTGTGACAGCTTGCGGCTTCACAGCCAGTTGCCTACTGCGCATGCGCGAGTAGCACTGCGCTTCCTTAAAATGGCCCCTTCATCTTCTAGGACCTGTCATGTGTCCCACAAGACTTCAGGGAGGGAGGGTAGGAGGACAACTTCCATTTCCGATCGCCTAGGCAATCGCAGTGGAAGTAGGGACGGGTACCTGTCAAATTCAGGTACATGTCCCCCCGCTCCCCAAAGGTGCCAATCCTTAATGGGGAGCGGGGGATCAATCTTTAAAGCAGAACTTCTCCTTTTGGGTGGAACTCCGCTTTAAAGCAATATCCACAATTCCACACCTCCCTTCCTTTTCTTGTACAGTAATGGCTGCCTTTCATGGCTGATGCATAGTTTTTGGATCAAGTTGTCTGTGCTACCTGAGTCAATATAAATGCTGAGGTATATTCTTTACACTCATTAAAAAAAAAAAAGTGGCTTGGAAAGCTAGCAAACATCTTTAACATTAAAAAACATAACAAGTATATCATAGATATGCTGATATTCTCTTGCTGCAACTAATAAAGGTATTTAAAGCGGCTTATGTGAGGCACTGCCTTCTTCCTTTTATGACATGAGCGACTAGTCCTTTTACTGAAACCGGGCAAAACCACTACGGTTCCTGGCTTGTATAGGCCTATAGCTCTACTGCAAACAGGTTTTGGCCAAAAACATTACAGAACAGGTTCAGTCGAATGTGACTAGCTACTACTAGCAAGCAGTGGTCCTGCCTTCTGATCCCTGTGCCTGAGAATAAAGCCACAAGTCTTGGGCACATGTAATGATGCCCAAGAACCAACCTGCTAAAGTTCTTCCTACCCATGCTTGTAGAGCACATACGAAATTACATGGGTCACACCCAGGCAGTGCAGTATTGTTGAAAAATGCAAAAGGATATAGTTGCACATTACAGGCTATGCACATGAATGAATGTTTTTTTAATTTTAGGGGTTACGTTCTCAGTTTATACTTTGGATGAATACAGGCTGCCTTGTACAACAAAGTGCATTTATTATATGAGCATAAAAAGATCAGTGGGACTGTCTTCAAAATGTGGGTGTATGTGTTCTATGGGTAAAAACATGAACATAAAAGGAGGCTGGACACCAGTGAAGAGATGAACAGGAAAATCAATAAAGGATGTGCACTCCTTAATGACGGTGATTGGAAATGTATTGGTAGTGGGATTGTTTTCCACGGTGCAAGCAGTGCAAGTGAAGATGATAACTGAGTTTGTGTCAGTGTTGCTTAGAATTGCATCCTTAGTTCCAAAGACTTTTATATATGCGCTGTGCCTTTCTTGCATGTGATTTGTGCATGAGCTGTTTTACTCTTTCCATTTGACAACTGTCCACCTTTCCATTCTTCTACAGGAAGAGATGGCTAAGAACCTGCTGGCAGAGTTCAACCTTGGCTGTGATGCCCATGAGACACAGCATGTGTACAGGGTGTACGTGGCCACCTTCTTGGGCTTTGGGGGCAATGCTGCTCGACAAAGATATGAGGAGCACATATTCCTCAGCACAATGGAAAAGAACAGGTTAGAAACATATCCACATTTTTAATGATTTATACATTTAAATGTCTTCATTTGGCAGTGCTTTCTGAAAGTTAGTGAAACTACCTATATTACATCTCAGTCACAAAAGTCAGAAGCTGCCCTATGCTCCTCAATACAAGAGAGACAGCTGATTTCATTCTTACTTTCAGCTAGACTTTTTTTTTTTTTTCTTTATGTAGTAATAACTCCACAATGCAGCAAAAATTCAAGAGCAGTAGAAGCCTTCTATTTGTAAAGGTGTTCCCTGTTGACTGCCTAAAGAATCCCTAAATCAGTTTTTTTGTTTTGCATAGAGTAGGAAATGGTTAAATCCCTTGTCAATTTTTTTTTATTTCACTATCTGTGTGCCATTGGGGAAATTTCCCTTCGCTTTCTGTCTTATAAACACAACGTAGAGAGTGAGAGAGTAGATCTCTCCAAAGTAACGGACGTCTCCGCACGAAAATATATGTCCCCAATTGGAATGTTTTCCTCTATTCCTTTATGGGGACAACTCACGATTCTGGATTTTCCCTTATTTTTACCCTGCTGGAAGAGGTCACCAGGACAAATAGAGACTAATTCTCTCTAACAAGGATACAAGCAGCATTATGAACTTGGCAGAGGTTCAAACCTTTCCACACTCTATTATGGGGCTTTAGATTCAATAGCAATTTTTAATTCCAGCAGTGATGAATACAATAGAATTAAAAATGTTACCTTTAGAATTACTTTAAGTGAATATTATTTTTAAAAATGTAACCATTGCACAGAGCAGCCCTGATACTCCTCTTCTGGAGTCCTCTGCCAGTGTTCCTGGCCCCTCCCCACTGCCAACCCACTTTCTATGGAGACACTTGTGGGTGCTCGCTCCCAAGCCAAGTCTGTGTGTCCATTGACACACAGAGTGTGGCTAGACCTCACCCCCCTCTCTTTCCTCACTGGCTGTGATTGACAGCATCTGGAGCCAATGGCTCCCACTGCTGCTTCTCTGTACAATGAGGAGAGAGGGATTGTGCTCTCATGAACATTGCCGTATTGAAATCAGGCTCAGGTAAGTCTTTAGGTTGGGCTGGAGGGTGGGGGTTGGAGGAAGCTGCATGCGGAAGGTTTTTTACCTTAATGCATTAAGGTAAAAACCCTTCTGCCTTTAGAACCACTTTATACCAACAAACACATAAAACGGGTTCTTGGCCACAGTGCTAAGCTTAACCATAGTGTACTGAAATATAAAAACCATAATCAAGTTGTCAGTGCAAAGATTAGCAGTTCAACAAATGTTGGGGTCAGTGACCGTTTTTTTTTTTTTTCCTTTAAGACTTCTAGGGAAGAAGTTGGGTCAGTCTTCAGACATGCCATACCTGGATCCATGCCTTCCTTTGGACATCCCGGATAAAATACAGCAGGGGGGACAAACTATGTTTGTACGTGGAACAGGTGACTTTCAGCTCTGCCGTCGGATCATCCAGCCTCTTATGAACTTATCCAATGAAACTCAGACTACTTTAAATGGCATCTACCAGCCACCTCTGCCATACCACAACAGTGAGTTCTATGGCTTCTCAGAGTTCTACTACTGCACCGAAGATGTGCTGCGTATGGGTGGGGACTACAACTCAGCGCGCTTTCTAAGGGCAGCACAGGTAAACTCATGTCACCTGCCATTCACAAAGCTATGAGGGTTAATAAATCCTATTTCTAACAGCTACTCTGTTTGCTCCTAGGATTACTGTGCCACTAAGTGGACTGTTTTAAAGGAGAGATTCGACCGTGGTCTGTATGCTTCTCATGCTGACATGCACCGACTTAAGTGAGTATGAAAAAGGCATGTAGTAGAAAAAAGTAGCAGCAGTTGACTCCTTATGTGTATAGCTAAAAATCGGATAAAAAAGTGAGCGCTCTCAATAAAAGCAGCTATGGCACTACAGGTAACCAAATAAAACCTCAGTCATAAATATAAATAAAAATTAGTGTTTGTGCTTTGAAACAGTGGGGTAAGAATACGCACTCGCCAGATGCGTAATGGAAATACGCATATAAATCCATCTACAGAGGTTCCCTTTAAGGAAGTGGATTAAGCTAGGCAAAGGATTATCCTCCCTCTGAGTGCGTATTTTATTATTTTTTCCAATATATTTATACGGACATTATTATTATTAAGTTATTAGCACTGCACTTTTATTTATATTTTTGTGTGTAGCTACTGCAGCTCTCATACCTTTATACCCATTTGGACCAGAGCAATTTTTACATTTCCATTATGGGCATGTTTACTCGTAGATATCCTTGTCATTATTTGACATAACAAAGTAATACATATAGTCTTTTTTTTTTTTTTTTTTTTATCGTACATCACGGGACACAGAGCAGGCGATTTATGACTATGTGGGTTATATGCTACCTATAGGTGAATGTACACTGGCTGACCAATCAGAGAGGAAGTACTCCGCTATAAAACTCCTCCTATACAGGACGTACTTCAGTTTTTTCACCAGTGGCTGTAAGGTGGATGGTCACTGAAAAAGTTGCATTTGCTCTAAGAGCATACCTGAAGGTCCAGAATGGTTCCATTAGAGAATCAGGGACTTTATTTGGACCCATTCAGAAAGCTGTTAGTCAATATGGATGGTACCTGAGCCTCGCTGGATAAGGAGAAGAATCCTCAGGGTTTTGCCTGTAATGCAGCCTTACGGTGCTGGACCCTGCATAATGGAACCCTGTGCAGTATAATACTGACCAAGGTGCTTTCCAACTGAGTGCTGTACAGGTCCAAGGCAGTGGCCCCTCATTATGAATCCTTGAAGTTCTGCATGACAGCCCGTGGTGATGAGTGAAGGTTGGACTCTCCTGTTATGATTCAGGGTCCTGCGGCGGGATGGGTAAGTTTACTTTTGGAGTATTTCTTTAAAAATATGAATATTTGGTCATTCTCCTGGTGGCCACTGGGGGCAGTGTGCTGTTGGTCTGACCAGGCCATGCTGTTTGTATCTCGAAGGAGTATTGGGCTTTAGTTTTCTCCTTCAACCACTAGAGGTCATGGGGATGCTCTCTATAGCACTGGTGCAGTGGAGGCAGGAAGTAGATGAGCGGCCATTTTGGCTTGTGTTCCCATGTGGCTGGCGGTTTGTGAGGCTCCTGAAAGGCTGAGACACAGAGCAGTCTATGGCTGGATGATGGTGTGTGGTCATGCAACTCCCCCAAAGGAAATACTCAGACAGGACTTGCTTATACACTGCATTAGCCTGCATAATCCTGGGGGCTTGTACAACTGTTTTTTGATACTCCCCTGCAGCGGTATCAGTGCACATAAAGGAGTTGAGTCTCCAGAGTAGCTTGCATTTGATCTGCAGGAGCTTACATTTTAGCTGCACTCAAGTAGCATGGAGACTGCATTCAGACTGTGTTTTGATATGTACAGTTAGGTCCATATATATTTGGACACAGGCACAATTTTAGATTTTTTCAGGTATTTACCAAAACATATTCAAGCTATAGTTATATAATGGATATGGGCTGCAAGTGCACACTCTCATGTTTAATTGAGGGTATGTACATCCAACGTGGAGGAAGGTTTTAGGAATTACAGCTCTTAAGAGTAGCCATCCCCCCTTTTTCAAGAGACCAAAAGTAATTGGACAATTGAATCAAAAGCTGTCTCATGGCCAGGTGTGGGCTATTACTTTGTTATTTCTTCATCAATTAAGCAGGTAAAAGGTCTGGAGTTGATTCTAAGTGTGGTATTTGCATCTGGAATCTATTGCTGTGAACCTACATCATGCGTTCAAAGGAGCTGTCCATACAAGTGAAGCAGGCTATTGTAAGGCTTCAAAAACAAAACAAATCCATCAGAGAGATCGCAACAACATTAGGAGTGGCCTAAATCAACAGTTTGGTACATTCTGAGGAAAGAAGAATGCACTGGTGAGCTCAGCAACATAAAAAGGCATGGATGTCCACAGAAGACAACAGTGGTGGATGATTGCAGGATCCTCTCTATGGTAAAGAAAAACCCATTCACAACATCCAAACAAATGAAGGACACTCTCCAGGAGGTGGGCGTATCATTGGCAAAGTCTACAATCAACAGAAGACTTCACTAGAGCAAATACAGAGGATTCACCACAAGGTGCAAACCATTCATAAGCCTGAAGAATAGAAAAGCCAGATTAGACTTTGACAAAAAAAATCTAAAAAAGCCAGACCAGTTCTGGAAAAACATTCTTTGGATGGATGAAACTAAGATTAATCTGTAGCAGAATGACGGGAAGAAAAAAGTGTGGCGAAGGCTTGGAACAGCTCATGATTTAAAGCACACAACGTCATCTGTAAAACATGGTGGAGGCAGTGTAATGGCATGGGCATGCATGGCTTCCAGTGGCACTGGGTCATTGGTGTTTATTGATGATGTGACAGAAGACAGAAGCAGCCGGATGAATTCTGCAGTGTTTAGAGATACACTGTCAGCCCATATTCAGCCAAATGCAGCAAAGTTGATTGGATGGCGCTTCACAGTACAGATGGACAATGATCCAAACACACTGCAAAAGCAACCCAGGAGCTTTTGAAGTGAAAGAAGTGGAATATTCTGCAGTGCCCGAGTCAGTCACCTGATTTCAACCCAATTGAGCATGCAATTCACTTGGTGAAGGCAAAACTAAAAGCACAAATAAAGAACAACTGAAGGCAGCTTCAGTTAGAGCCTGACAAAGCATCAGAAAGGAGGAAACCCAGTCTTTGGTAATGTTCATGGGTTCCAGACTTCAGGCAGTCATTGCCAGTAAAGGATTCTCAACAAAATATTACAATGAACATTTTATTTATGATTATATTTATTTGTCCAATTACTTTTGGTCCCTTGAAAGGGGGGGTGGCTACTTTTAAGAGCTGTAATTTCCAAACCCTTCCTCCAATTTGGATGTACATACCCTCAAATTAAACCTGAGAGTGTGCACTCTCAGCCCATATCCATTATATAACTATAGCTTGAATATGTTTGGTAAATACCTGAAAAAAACTAAAACTGTGCCTGTGTCCAAATATATATGGACCTAACTGTATGTGTTTGCCTAGCATGGAACCAAGTGCATTTTAATTTTGACATAGTTCTTTGAAATCATACACTTCTAGAAAGCGGAACAGCATTGCGTTACATTATTGCATCCATACCTGCATAGTTTTGTGAAGTGTATATTGAATAAACTGCATTTGTATATGCATTTGTGCATGCATACCTGATGCCTGGACGGCATCCGTACATGCGTACCTGATGCCTGGGCGGCATCCGTACCTGATGCCTGGGCAACATCCGTACATGTGTACCTGATGCTTAGGTCAAATATGGCCTGATGCTTGGGCTGCATTCCATACATGCATACCTGATGCTTAGGTCAAATACGTGCCTGATGCTTGGGCCGCATTACATATATGCATACCTGATGCTTAAACAGCATCAGTACATGCATACTTAAATGCATACTAACATAGACTGCATACCTACACTTGCATGAACTACATAAATTGCATACTTACATGCATATTTGTGTGAACTGAGTACTGGTAAAATGTGTATATATACATGCCTGTATACCTGCATAGCTGCATGCTTGCTTGCCTGTACAGTTGCATAACTGTAGACCAACATGGCTATGGACATATATCCCTGCGGGACTGCATATTTAGGTGACAATATATAGTTGCCGCCTTTTTTTAATTAAAGGGTCCCAAAGGAGGTAGCCAGCAGAGAGACGGGTACACTGCCCGTGGATCCAGTGGACTCTGGGGGGGGGGGGGGGGGGGGGTAATCTGGCGATGTTTGCATTTTACAATAAAGTAGTGGTATCTGGGCCACTGTGTTTGTCTGGCATTGCAGCTATTCCTGGTGGCGGAGCTGTGATGGACTACAGCCGCATTACCCTGTACGCACCTGATCTTGTCTGAACTCATAATCTAATCTTGGTCAAGCCCTGGCTACTACTTGGAGGGAGGAATGCCTGGGTATACCAGGTGTTGTAAGCTTTCGAATTTTATTGCTGCCTGGAGGGGTCTAATCCAAGACAAGTGGGTCATTTCCACTATTTCTCTTGGTTACAGACTAGAATTTCGGGTCTCCCCCCCCCCCCCCCCCCCCCCTTCGCCCGGTTTCTAAAATCAAATGTACGGATGAATCCAGAGAAGAAAATAGCCTTGTTACAGGAACTTGATCGCCCGTTGTCTCAGGGGGTGATCACGGAGGTTCCAGTGGACGAAGAGTTTTAGGGGATTTATTCAAACCTGTTCTAGTCCCAAAGCCAAATGGGGATTTAAGGCATGGGGTTGCACAGATGTATATCTATTGGCATCCAGGTTCAACAGCAAGGTTGGTCTTTTTGTGTCCAGGGTAAGGGACCCTCGTGCAGCAGGGGTAGATGCCTTAGTGATTCCCTGGAACCAGTTTTCACTGATTTCACTGGTGCCACATCTCTTACGCAGGATTCGGGAGGAGTCTATTCTGGTGATACTGATTGCCCGGCCCTGGTACGCGAACATAGTGAAGATGGCAGTAGATATGCCGTGGTCCCTGCCATGTTGGCCAGACTTGCTGTCTCAACATGCTATGTTGCACCCAGCTTTACGGCCACTAAATTTGATGGCACGGCTATTGAAAGGATAGAAGAGTATTGGATTCTGTCATCCCCATCATGTTGGGGGCTAGAAAGGTAGCCTCAAGGAACATTTATTACAGAACTTGGAAGGCTTAAATTTCTTGGTGTGAGGTCTGGAAATGGCAGCCACGAAAGTATGTGATTCGTTGGATTCTGTAGTTTCTACAAACAGGGTTGGAGAAGAAATTGGCTGTTGGTACCATTAAGGGCCAGGTTTCAGCATTCGCTTATTGCGTCTCACTCTTTGGTTCACGCTTTTTTACAGGGTGTAATGTGTATTACTCTTCCTGTCAGGTCACCTATGTGTCCTTTGGACCTGAATTGGGTTTGGGAGGTTAAAACCACCATTTGAACATTTTTGAGATATTCCACTGGTCCTGTTAACTCGTAAGGTTTTGTTTCTAGTGGCAATTGATTCTGCAAGAAGGGTGTCGGAGCTGGCAGCTGTTTCTTGTAGAGAACCATTTCTGGTTTTGCATCATGATAAGGTGGTGTTGCGACATCAACCGACACAGAGGTCCCTCCCATCTTTCTGGAATTTTTTTTTTTGGGGGGGGGGGGGGGAAGAGGGGCACACTAGGCTTTGTTTCAACAATATTGCCTTGCCAAAAATTTTTTTATCTTCTATTTTAAAGAGTAGTATGGGTTTAAAAAAAAAAGTCATACTTGCCTATGTGGCTGCAACATAGATCCAAACTGCTTCTGTCCCCTGCTGGCTCTAAGAACGAGAACTGAGCGATCATATGACCGCTGATTGCTCAATTCTTGGCCTTCAGTGAGCATAGAGCAGTGGCTGTCAGTCACCAGTCACCATATGGTGTGACCCACAGATGTATGACCATAGAGCTTTGGCCATACTTCTCCTTTAATCTGTAGTTGTGAAGACAAAAAAAAACATATTTTTTTCTATTTTGACCAGTGTCAAAATAGAAAAAAAATATGTGGTTTAACAAGTAGTTTTTTATTCTATATGTCCTGTTAACAATGATATTAAAATTATGTTTCTGGTACAAAGCCTGGACGTTTTTTAAAAAAAATTAAGATAAAAATCGTAAAAAAAAAAAAAAGGTGAGGAATTACAGCTGATTAGGGTTAAATTATGCTGGTCACACACCCAACTGCTGAATGAGAGAAATCACTGAATTTCCCTGTCCATGCTTGCTAAATAGCATGGATGGATTAATCTTTCCTGACAAATATTGTGTTCTACAAGCTGTAACGGGCAGGGCTCTATGATCACTCTTGTATTCAGTTGTATTGTAACTGTATTGTCTGGCTCCTTTTTCTATAGTGCTGTGCAAACTATAAATCCTGTAAAATAATAATATCCAAACAGTGACTGCATCTGGTTGTATGCAGCCTCTTATTCAGATTTCCTTTGTGCTCTTTTCATTTTCAGATGAAAGGATATTGAGCTGCAGGATGCCTACAGGGCAACCCATGGCTCACATTTAGGTGGGAATTGGATGAAACTCAGTCCATGTATGGCAAGTTTAAGGGTTATTAAGGCTTAAATAGAAATAACTTTTTTAAACTTAAAAGGTTTCTTGAAAGCCCAACTCTGGACAGCTAAAAAAAATGTCTGCAAGTGTAATTTTGCACAGGAGCAGCTGTATTTTGACTGCTGCTCCTGTTCTGGAACGCAAAGCAATCCCTGGCTGTCATCAAGGCCAGTAATTGCGGGTGATAGTAGCAGAGGCAGAATTTAGGAGTTCCTAGAAACTTAGTTGTTTTTCAGGACATATCACCTACATCTTTGCCTAAAATGCTCAATTGGTTATATTATATTTCACTTTGTGTGAAACCACCTGTCTGTACGTAAAGCAGAACTATAGACTCCATTAAAAAACATTTTGTGGCAGCACTTGATTATAAGTTCATGTGCATTTTCAGTTTTCTTTTAGCCCCCATGCAAAGTCCCATAAATTTCTGTTGGTCCAACTAATGCAGCTTCCTGCAATAGTGTGGCAACCATGCTTCAGTGCTCCTGAATTCAGAGCAGAGTTGACACTCTCATATAGTCTTTTCCTGCTTGCATTGCAATGGGATAAGAGGATGCTGCAGGGGAAGTTGCTGTCACCATTGACAATTCACAAGTCTGTAGCTCATCAATCAGCACCTGCCTGTGCCTAGTCATCTCAACAGCTTTTTGGATTGGCAGAACTGCTTCTGTTACTGAAACTCTCCCACTGTGAGCTGTATTGTCTGGTAAGAGGGTTAGACTGTCATACAGGAACCTTTAGCTCTTGTTTAGAAAACTACGTGCCATAACCTATAGCAACCAGTCATAAATAATGTTGCGAAAAACACCCACTATGCCATCCCCTATGCGTACCTTGTCGCTCATTAAATCAGATCTGAATTCGAACCCTCTATGGCTGGCTTTAGTCCTAAGGTGGTCGCTATATCAAGATTTTACATAACAGTGAGGAGTTGCCTTATGCCTGGATAAAATGAAAAACAAAAATGAACATAGTTCATGCACTACCTTGGCCTGATTTTCATGCAGCTTGAGGGCCATAGCCTTCAATGCTTACCCCCCCCCAAAGGTGCATGAAATTCGTACCTGAAAGTTTTACATGTGACAGTGGGCCCAACTTTGCAGAGGGGACAAGTCACATCAAAAGTTGCACTCCAAAGTCACGCAACTTTGGAGTTGTACAAGTGTGAGTGGAGCCTAAGGCTAGGTTCACATCTCTGCGGGTGGTGCCGCTGCGGATCTGCACAGAGGAATGCGGACCCGCAGTTCTAATGGCACGCGGCTCGCACTGGTAGAGGCAACCATACTGGGAACCGAGGTTCCCGTGCAGGCTACGTTTTCAGAAGAAGTGCAGGGACTTCTTCTCTGCGTGTCACAGGGCACGGGAGTCTATTCAAATGAATGGGCTCTCGTGCCCGTGCAAAACGTGGCCCGCACGGCCGCATATATGTGAACCAGGGCTTAAGGTGGATTGTTCTGTGGTCCAGCAGAGCAGAGCTGACAGTGTTGCTCTGGATTTCAGTGCAGCAGAGATTGGCAGCTCACTAGCAACCTACTTTTCTGTTAAAAACAGTCCTGACAATTCGTGGTTATGTCTGACACCCACTTGACAGGTTTGGTCCTCAGGAATGTCGCATGGGACTTCTGTGTATTGATTTAAATGTGTGATTATTTTCAGATTTAATGCTGGAGCCTCTTCCCAAAAAAAAAAAAATGCTTGTTCTGTTTTGTATACAGGTACCAGTGCTTCAAGTCAGCCTGGATGTATGAAGTCTTCCACAATGGTTTCTCATTTCCTGCTAATTACAGCAGTCTGAAGACTGTGCTGCAAGTGTATGACAAGGAGGTTCAGTGGACGCTGGGGGCCATCTTATATAGAACACGGTTTTTACCACTGAGGTATAAAATACAAAAAAAAAAAAAAAAATTGTGTAGCAATAAAGATGATTACTACTTCCAGGAAAGAACATGATGGGAAATCTCTAACATGGACACGAAAAAAAAACGTGTCTTTAGCAGAGTGAGGAAGGGTTAGAGCCTCTGAGAATTTTTATTGCTGTGTCCTGTTTGCCATCCCAGTAACATTTACACCCCTCCTTCCTTGTACAGGTGTCACAGGGACAGCAAATGGGGATAGACCTCCTCAATACACAGGAAAAAAAGCACAAATGAAGTTTTATTTCTTTCTCTATCATTCCAAAACCAAAGAGAGGTTTTTCTTTATTGTCCTTTGAGGAACACCGGAAGTCTTAAACTTTTGGTTATACTGCTGCCTACAGGGGAATTCAACACTGGCAAACAGGAGAACCCCTCCTACTACCTGCATGCCTCATGTCTCAGACAGCATGGACTATTTTTAATCCTTCTGCTGCTAGTATTAGTAAATAGATAGGAAAGCATATCATATTTACTTGTGTTAAACTTTATTTATTTTTTACATTTCTTCAGTTACTTCCTGGTTTCCATGCCTAGGCAAATGATGTCACACATCCCAGGAGCCTTCAGGAAGGGAGGGAGGGTTCTCAGCTCAGACAATGCCTGAGCTAAGGGCAGATGGATTCCAGGAAGTAAATGCTACATGAATCATATCTGCCCTTACTCAAGATGGCCACTGCCAGAAATCCCAGGGGGTGTTTTTAAAATTAATTCTCAGCAAAATAAAGCATGGAAACATGGATGGAATGGGGAAGGTTTGCTTTGAATATTAACAATGACTTAAATAGCATTTTTGGTTTGTGGTGCTCAGATGCAGTGCAGTAAGGATTTCTTTTGATTGGATAACGTAAACCAAATCCATAAAAAAATATGCAATTTAGGTGTATTGGTCACTTTAAAAAAAACGTAATTAAACTTCAAAAACGCTTAGAATGTTTTAACCAACAAATTACAGACTGTGTTCTGCTAATAGTAAATGAACAGAATGAATTACAAATCTGTAGCTGATCTTTACATAGGGGTTCCTTCGTGTATTCCTTCTATTTATACTTCCATCTTCCATGCAGTCTTTGTCATATTGTTTTCTTATTTCTCACTTACAGGGACATTCAGCAAGACCAGTTCCGTGGCAGTCACCCACACTGGCGTGGAGCATCTTTTGTGTACAACCACTACCTGTTCCTGGTGTGTTTCATGGTGGTCCTGCTATCTATTATGCTGTACCTTCTAAGGCTTAGACGTATCCACCGGCGCATGCAGCGGAACACATCTTCCTCTGCACTTTGGGTGGAGCAAGGACTGCAGCCATCTGGGCTCCCTGGCACCTTGTAAGGAACTGACAGCAATATGTTGCACATCCTCCCCACCCTGTTTGGTGGAATGCGTTCGCTAAGAAGGCCTTTGTGAACTGTCTAGTGGCTCTCTCTGCTGGAAAGAGAGGAACCTTGGTGTGAGGATGACCTTGACTCCTGCACTGCCATCCTGGATGGGAGGAGACAGATTAAAGCCATGTTTTATGCCTCAGGGTCCCCAACCTGTTAATAAAAAGGGGTGCAAGATGTGTTCCTGTGCCTCTATGGAGGACACAGCACATACATTTCCACTTTAGGGTTTCCCACAACAGGGAGAACACACTGTCTTCTGTAATAATGCTCTAACCTTGCACTTTCCTCCAAGTCAATAGACATTTGTTTTCTATGAGTTCTGCAAGGTTTAAATAGAAGTCGTGTTTCGAACTATGATCTCAGTACTGTAAGTTGCACAGCTTATTGTTTGATAGAAAGAGATATGAACTATTATGTATTGTGATGTTTACTTGCATCTGTTTCCAGCTCCCAGAGACCTGCCATTTTGAGGGCTGAAAGAATGCTCAGTTTATTATTAAAGGGAATCCTTTTATTTAAAGAGCACCTGTCATAGGAGAAATATGGGAATGACTGGTGCCAGCCTCCTTAAAAAAAAAAAAAAAATGCTGATTGCCTTGCTTCAGTTTTTCTGGACCACAAACCAGGAACCAGCACATGGTACATGAATGCCTTAAAAGTGTTAGAATTCCTTATCTCTGCCCTTTTTTTGGGGTTGTGAGTCACGATGGCATTAGCATTAAGCCAGGCAACTAGCATTTTCAGAAAGAGCAGTCCTTAATGGCCGCTTGCACATTTTTTCAATGAAAGATTTCTTTTACATGGAAAACTCCAAACTAACTATGCTCTCTCTATGTAGCATAACAAGGGAGCACCCACTACAGAAGTAAATTATTTCCACTATTTACCTGTATAATTGTGCTTGCCCGGCCATGTAAAACATCCAGACTGCTTCATGATTAGAACTGAGATGGGGAATAAAGTGCAATCAAAAACAGGTGCAGAAAAGAAGATCTAGGGATCATGCACATAGACGATATGCTGTGCTTAGATCTATCATTTATACAGGTTTGAACGCATCAGTATTGTATGCTATTAGCCCATGCGCACAGCTCCATTTTGGTGTGCAACGTTTAGCTGTGTAAACCAAAACAAGAAGATTCTGTGTCCACAATCCAGCTTTTGACTTTATACTATGCTGTACACGTGTAAAGGTATGTGCAAATATTTACATGCATACAGATTAAGAGGATCATATGCACCACCATGGCTGCCTAGTGAATTCAGGGACAAGATGTAAAAATGGGGTTCGATTTACTAAAGGCCTATAGACTGTGCACTGTGCTCCAGAGCTTAGCATATTAAAGTGTTACTAAACCCACAACAGTGAAATCGGTCTTTAAATGCAACAAAGCATGCTTGTTATACTCAATATGGAACACAAGAAGTTAATCCCCTGCATTGTGTAAAAAGGCTGGTGATCCTGACTTATCTGATCCTCCCCTTCTTCCAGTGCCCCCCTCTTATCTCCTGATAGACATATGGTGTGGAGACACTGCACAAGCTCAGTTTGGTGTGTATTGCTAGAGAGGTGTTTTTTTTTTTCCTTGGAAGAGTGCATGCGATCAGCACAGGGCCAATCAACACTGTTCAGACTGAGTCAGGATTTCTGCATCCTAGAGCAGAATGAAAACTCCTCCTACAAGCTGTAACCAGTACTCTGCTGAACACTGATAGAAGTCACAACACTGCTCTAACTGCTGATGAAAAAAGGTATTTAGCAGTTAGAGCAGTCTTGTGACTTCTATCAGTGTTCAGTGAAGCTTCACTTTGCAAAGAATACCCAATCACATGCAAGGAAAACAAAAAACAGCATTTTTGCTTGCATCTGATTGGATGATGAAAGTCAGCAGAGTTTCTCTTCATTTCCTCAGTTTTGGAGCAACTGCACTTGCAGAGTACACAGTCTATTTGCCTTTAGTGAATCAACCCCAATGTGTAGTCCGCAATGGTGATGCAGGTGCAGAATGACCTCAATCAACATTCAATCATTCTGAATGACTAAAGACCGAGGTCCGTTTGCTCTACCACCATGTGGACTGACTCATTCAGGACAAGATGTAACTATAATAAAAAGTGTAGATGGCTTATGCACAGAATGACTTTACATAGCACACATCTTAACTCATGCAGACATAAACGAGTGTAGTCTGTATGAGTTGAAATACAGTACAGATCATTTTTTATGCAGGATCTTGCACGCAGCAAGCAATTATGTATATACAGTAGTTGTGTACATGGAGCCTTAGTGTGGTAAGGAACTGACCACAGCTAGCTAGATTTGTGACACAATTTTGCAGCCTCTGTTCACTAGACAGTATCAATTTAAGAAGAGGAATTATGGTTCTACCTATAAAAATGGCCACCTTTTGGCATTTTCTTTTTCTGTAAGTCTTCTCCATGCTGGAGTGGATGCAACACAGCATCCAACACTTTGTTTCTTAGGCTGAATTCTGCCTGGAGAGGCCATAGAAAACATAACTCTACAGACGTACAAATAAGTCATTCAAGTTATTGCACATTGTTTGAACTGGTAAATTGCAGGGCAGTTGACTGGGGTCAAAACCACCTGCCAAGGATCTGCAATATCCCAGAGAAATGCAGTGTGAATGAGCCCTACTGTCTCTGGTTTCCATTAAATTTACTGAATTGGTTTTCAGCTCTCAAAATGGCCTCCTTTTCTATGTTCCATGCCTTGCTAATGTTGATAGCTCCAAGTAAATTGATACTATTGAACTACTGATTCACCCTACAAAATGGCTGACTTTTCTACATAGAAGACAGGTCCTCTTATAGCAGGGGTGCTCAATACATGGCCCTCGGAGCCCTCTGATGTGGCCCTTAAGCTCAAACTGTCAAACTGCAGGAGTTTTTGTGTGCTTTTAGAAAGTGCTGCACACCCGCTAGATATAATAGAAGTCTATAGCAAAGCGCAGCTCACCTGCAGGAAAATATAGGTGTTACGGGGTGCTGCACCCACAGTAGGGGTGGACCATAGCAATCAGTGTAAAAAGCAGCCTTATAGGGGGCTCAGGACAGTAAGGGCTTGTTTACATATGACGTTTGGGTATGGTAAAACCCCATAGTTGAGATGTGTTTTTACCCCTCCCAACCGCTGGTGTAGTGTCAGGGTTTGCAATGGCAACTCTGCCCCATGCTCCAGGGGGCCCATGAGGCCTCCCTGTTGCATTTTGTTTTACACTTGAGGGGTGGCATAGACCGGAACCAATCCTCTCCATTTTTCCTCCTGCAACTACTGAAAGTCTGCTTCTTCTCTTCTCCCTCCCACCGGCATTCAGTGGCTGCAGGAGGAAAATGTTCATTAGGCTATTCAAAATGAAAAAAAAATTAAATTCTGAACTTTTTCATTTCATTGTGGTCCGTGACCGGTTACCAAATCACTTAATTGGCCCTCACTCTTCAAAACGTTGAGCACCCCTGTGTTAAAGGGTAAGTTCACCTTTTTCATAAAAAATGAAAAGGTGAACTAACTCTGAAAACCTTCCCACCCTTCCGGTCTCTGCTGCACTTAGCTGGTCCCACACCATTCTCCCGCTGCCCCTGCCAGTAAGTGGGGCATGCACTAAAAATCTTCACTACACATCCTTGCTGGCTGTGTAGTGGTGATTGATCAAGGCAGCCACATGACCACACTGACCAATAAAAACCTTCTTTTCTATGGTTCTGGAAGAAAGAAGACTCAATGGAGATTCTCATTGGTCATGTGGCCACTTTGATGAATCGCCATTCAATCATCGCCATTATGATTATAAGCCAATGCTAGGGCTGAGTGGTTAAGATTCTTGCTGTGCATCATAGCGACTGGCAGGGGTGTCAGGAGCGCAGCATAGGAGCAGCTAAGTGCAACGGGGCCTTTTAGGGTTTTTAAAGTTAATCCATCTTTTCACTTTTTATGGAAAGGCAAAGTTACCCTTGAACTGTTTGCTCCTGCTTCTGTCCCTAGTCTTGCTGTACTATCCTTAGTGTTCTGAATCTCTCCTATGCTGCTCTATGATGAGAAGTCATAACATGTCATTTAAAGGAGTAGTTGCTGCTATCTTTGTGCTCTTCAGAGCTCTTAAGACTTAAACTGCAGGGGTTATATGAAGGTTGTCGTTCTAATAATTCAAATGTTTTCTGAATACACCTGTTCCCTAGGGAAGTAGTGTTTTCAAATAAATGCTTACAGATGTCGTTTTCTTCTCCCACTAATGAAACCAGTTTCACACGTGTCAGTCTCCCGATATGTGACATGGCTTAAAGGGGAATGTCCCACGCTGGAGACATGATAAAACTTATAGGAATAGATACATTCCCTGCATATCTGCATGATCATGTTTTTAGGGCCTGGTGTGAATGTGTTATTGTGCACATTGTATATAGTTCGTGCACAGTGTATAAAAACTGATGAACAGAAAAAGTGGAGGTGTTGTCCCTTAAAACCAAACCTGTTTCAGCTGGCATTTTTTAAAGTGCGTATTTGGTTACATGCAGTGAGTGAAACCTCAACTTTCCTCACTACATTTTTTTATATTAGAGAATACTAAAATGATTACATTCTTTTAGGTTGAAATTAACTTTTTTTTTCCCTATTGTAGGAAAATCTTATTGGATATATATTGATTTAAAGTAGCTTTCTATTTCCAAAAGTGAACCTTCAACACGTCATCCTCTTAAGTTTTAATGCTTATATACGTAAATATACTATATGGTCAAAATGTTTGAGGACCCCTGACCATACCACCTACCACTATATGAACAAAAAAAATGTAGACACCTCTCCAAATGATTGAGTTCAGGTGTTTCCAGTGTAGGGTACTGATATTATTATAGCACACCAAACTTGTGCACTTCCAGCCTTGTTACGACAGTTTGGAAACGTCCCTTTTCTGTTCCAGAATGACTGTA